ATATATATATATATATATACACTGAGTGGCCAGATTATTATGACCAGCCCATCAGTACTTCGTTGGGCCACGAGATGACTTAGTTGGGCCGCCTCGTGACTCCACGAGATTGTTGAAAGGTGATGCGAGGAATCTGACACTGCACTGTTGCCCTTCTGTTGTCTTGTACCAGTCTTGCCACTCTCCGTTCTGCCCTAACATTGACTAGTCGCTGACGGCCACAATTCGCAAGTTCAGACCCAGATTTTGGGCTGACAGTCCAGTCTTTTAACACTTTAACAATGAGTCCCTCTTGAACATTTAACCAATTCTGCTGTTTTGCTGATACTCGCTCCATGGCTCTGAGCGCCAACAATCCCCCCACGTTCAAAGGCTGTTAAATCACGTTGTGTACCCATATCTTCAGAAAACAATCACTTCTACTGTCGTGGTAAACAACCTGCTTCCCTATTTATAATGGTCTGGCCCTCTAGCAACTTCAGCGCCAAATTCCTGTGTCATTTTGAAGTCTTCCGCTTGCTAACCGTACAATAAATCAGCATAATCTCTATTGGATTTACTGTCTAATAAACCGTAAGGTTTTGGATAGAGTGAGGAACAGTTAGAATTTGTGATAGTGTCACAGACAGAAATACAAAGATTTTTCCTTCCTGCCCCTGTGATGCCCTTGCAGGAATTGTGAGGAGCTATTATGGCCAAGACAGAAAGCCACAGATGGCAATAAAAACATTGAAGTTGTAACATTTCTCTAAAATGTATTGTTTATTGTTCACCATTCGAGAAATGTCCCATCACTTCCTGATTACATGATCAGGAACCACTCTGATTGGTTCAGGATTGTTAAACTGACACTAAACTCAGGAGTTAAATCTTAAAAATACATACAAGTACCTTGACTATTAAAAAATGTATCTTATTTGTGTATCACTCAGCTGTAAATCCTCAAATCATCTCTGAATTGGTGCTGACACTGTCCTTCCTTCTGGAGGGTGGCTACTTTGTTCCCCATGGTGTGTGTGTGTGTTGTAAAGTATCCACCGCTCCAAGCTCACTCCCTTGATGGACTACAATCTCATTTTTAGTTTACTAATTTGTATTGAGATTGTAGTCCATCACATGAGTGAGCTTGGAGCAGTGACTACTTTACAACACACACAGGGACCATGGGGAACAGAAGTAGCCACCCTCCAGAAGGAAGGACAGTGTCGGCACCAATTCAGGGATGATTTGAGGATCTACAGTTAAGGTTAAACTCCTGAGTTTAGTGTCACTTTAATGGGGATCAGAGCTGTGGGGGAATCTTGGTCTTTTAGCAAGAACCAATGAAAGTGTCAGGCTCTAGCTGTCAAAGGGTGGGATATAGATTAATGTTCCCTCAGCACTGGGCATTGAAATGCTATTACTGCTAGCTTTGTGACCTTATTAAAAAGATTTTCTAGCTTTTATACTTAGATTGAACACTTTGTCATTGTCCAGGTCCATGGGTCTTGCCGTTGCCCCCAGAGTCCGTTTCCTCCAGAAAGCACAGAGTTCTCAGCCTTCATTGTCAGGACCAGGTCAGAAGCCGGCAGAATCGGGTACTGTCAGTGACGATGAAATCGAGAGCTTCAAAGCTAAGCTTGGCGGAAGGACTACCACAGAAATAGATAAGGAGAGGAGTGACCTCTCCAGTGAAGAAGACGATTCGGGGGACGAGGAGGCTAGTGAGAGGTTAAAGGCCAAAGACCAAACCACATTTCAGCTTACAAATGAAGAGGATGATGACGACGATGACTGCCGAGATGTGGAGATTTTTACGGTGAAAAGACGAGATGTGTTTGGGGTGAATGAAGGTGAAACAGCACCGGTAAGTTCTATTATTTTTATGCCTGAGTTTACTTTGTTCTTTGATAGATTATACTGTTTACGCTTTGTGATTTTTGTTTTCCGGAACACTTTTATTGAATTTTTACAATGTATATATTCACCAAACAATAGAAATGGATTGTTTGTTCAGTCATATCCAGAGAGATATATAGGAGGCTGTTTCAGCTCACATCACAGAATATTACTGAATACAAAAAGCTCTTGGTGTACATTGTTTTTTTTTTTTAAATGAAAGCCAGGCACTTAAACATTCATTTATATATTTCTAAATATGCTCAAAGAATATAGAGTCACCTCACAGCCAATGCCTCTGCAAACCCAGTTATTGGCTTGTACCAGTGACATCATTGTGCTGTACATAGTCTGTGCAGAGAGCAGTGCTGTGGGAAGGGCCCAGCAGACCCCACCCTATACAGGCTGCCTGCCGAAAACTTCCTTGCTCTCTCTCCTGGCTGTCTTTCCTTGCTCTCTCTCCTGGCTGTCTCTCTTCTGGCTGTCTCTCTTCGCTCTCTTGGCTGTCTCTCTTCGCTCTCTTGGCTGTCTCTCCTTGTCTCCCCTGGCTATCTTTCCTCTCTCTCTCTCCTGGCTCACCTTGCTGTATTTTGCAAACAGTGCAGTGCAACAGGCCGTGTAAACTAATATTCTTTGATGTAATACAAAGCACTTCAACTACCAGTATCCACCAGAAAGGTGTCAGGGATCTTGCCTCAGCAGACTCGGGCTAATAGGTAATCATGTGTGCACGGCTAAATAAATATGCCAAAATGGAATAAAGGGGCTGCCATTCACACCCTTCGTGATCTACCAGCATCAGCTTTGAGAGCTACTGGTAGATCACGATGTACCTAATGGGCACCCCTGTTCTAGAGCATTGGAAGGTGAAGGACAACCCTTCTTACGGAGGGTGCGAGAATGCACTTTAGTCACCATCCCTGAGGCCCCATTCACGCCAGGGCAGCAGCGTTTCAGCGCAATTTTTGAAAGGGCGATTTTTGGCCGTTTTTAATAAAGTTCTCGATCTATACGGAAAACGCGCTGATCAGAGTGACAAAAGTTGCTCGGGAAGCGTTTTGGATTGCGTGGATTTGCGCACTTGTGTAGGAATGCGCTGCAAAACGCCCTACACCCAAAGAAGTAAAGCAGCTTCTTTGGGGCGTTTTGCCGCGCGTTTCCATTGGTATTCCCGAGTGTGGATCGGGGTTAACAAAGCGGTTACCCCCGAGCCACACTCAGGAATACAGCGTACAGGTCTTACCATGTCCGTGATCCCCGCTGTGTCTTTGGCGGCTGCTGACTTCCGGGTTCTGTCCCTTGCGAGCGGCCGCGTCACAGGGGGCGGAGACGGCGGGAAGTTTAAAAGTTAAACTAAAATGTATTTTTTTTAAATGGAGAAAATAAAGAAATAAAAATCATACCGCCAGCGAAATGCGCTTTTCACTGAATGAAAAAACGTGAAACAAACGAGCTGAAAAACGAGCATAAAAAACGCTGTGGTGTGAACCCAGCCTAAAGCCTTGCAGTGGAAAGAAGGGGCCGCTGCAAGGGTAATCTTCTTCTCCCCCTCGGAGTTCAGCTTTAAAGAGCCTTGCCAGGTAAAGGTAGCAACAATAATGCAAACTTCATAGAGTGCTCCATAGCAACAGGGATCATTAAAAGGATTTACTGCACCTTTTCTGCATTTCAGAAGCATGCAACGGAAAGCATATTTCCTACAGAACTGACACCCAGCTTTCAGCCCTAATACTATATCATTCTAACCATCATGTACAATGTTTTCTTCATGGCTCCGCAGTGATTCTGTTACCTTGTAAAAAGACTAATGTATCTATATCCTCCGTTTTTCGAGAGAGCCGTAATGTGCGCGTAGGTCCAGCCATTTCTCCAGCTGTTAATCCTTTGTTTGTTCTTCACATCTGAACACTGACTTTGCTTAGGAAAAGTTGTCTCTGTAATGAGGATTGTCTGATTTTTAGAATTTAAGCATGGTGCACATTAATTACATAGAGGGAATATAATGCGGTTCAGCCCTACAAAGTATCTCCGTTCTTTGGGTGGCACTGAATGAATGTCTTCATTGTCAGGCCTCTGATACATTTGCCTGTGTTATGCTGTGCTAATTGCATTCAGAGTTACTAGTTAGCTCGGCTTGAAGAAGACACTTGCCCGCCAAGTTTAACCATAAGAAAAAAGCGACTACAGTCATTAGCTGTTCTTTAGCACGGCTGCTGTAGTACAGCTTGGAAGCACGCAAGAAATGGTGACAACTCATCAGGGCTACTCAGTAAGCGTTGTCATCCTCGGAAAGCACTTGTCTTTGGATACACCTTGCTGGTATGATCCTTAGTTATTGTTTAATTAAAAGCTTTTTGAAGCTACAGGTATATGTGCAACAGAACTGCAGTTGCCAAACCAATCATTGCCCCCAGTTCCCCCTGCCCCAGGTCAATGTGCTGTCACTTTTTTATATGTTAGTACCCCACAAGTACCTTTTATAGTCCTTTCCAAGCACAACACCACTGCTACTCCATAGATGCAGTCCAGCGAATGAGTGTTGCCACCTTAGGGCAGGGATGTCCAAACTGCGGCCCTTCAGCTGTGGTGGAACTACGAATCCCATGAGGCTTTGCAAGATTCTCACAGCCACAGACATGACTCCTGGAGAGAGATGCTTCATGTGATTTGTAGTTTCACCACAGCTGGAGTGCCGGAGTTTGGACATCCCTGACCTTACCTAGGGTATCTGTTGCTAACAGAACCACCTTTTGAAAATATTGGGAAAAATTCCTGAAAAAAATAATATACAGCCACTTGCAACTGACCAATCTGCTCCTGCAAATCAAGGATCTGGCTGTGTTCTCTGGACTGCAAGACTGGCTTAACAGAGTAACAAATCCTCTAATATGTGCAAATATGTATTTCAACTACATTCAGCTGCCTGCCTGAAGCTCAGCTTCAAAATGCGAGCATGACGGCAACTGATAATTATGGGAAGTCTCAGTATGACACCTTGTAGATTAAAAATAAAAATGGATCTAGAAAAAGGAGGAGAGGGACATTCAGCTCAGTGTCATGAAGCATTAACCTGCCTGAGCTTTACAATGACATCTCGCTGATAGTACGCGCCAAGCCACACCACTTCCCTGTGTAATAAAACGATTTTATACTCCTGAAAGCAGCAATGAATTCGGACAAGGGAAGGATATCTTAAAGAGAAAGGAAAAAAACAAAACAAATGATGTATTCTGTATGCTCAGTTTAATAACGCCACATATAGTTCAAAATAAAATATGTAACCCTTTAAAAACGATGAGATATGAAATGAAATGTTTCCAAATATGAAGCTTGGAAAAAAAGAAAACAAAAGCAGTCACTGGCAGCAAATGACTGTTATCTGACTCTCCACCAAAGCTTTATAAATTGCTCCCAAAGAGGCTGCTCTGCCTCTGCTGCCAATAGCAAGAGGTCTCATTAACAGCTCCGATTCCCGGTTCAAAGGCTCATATTATAGTGAAATCATTTCCTCAGCAGATGACACAAGTGGACAATGTGCTTACTGTATCTAAATGTGGACACGTAAAGCCTAGTAGTGAGGTTACCGCTGCACTGTAAGAGTTAACTGCATATTAAAGAACAACTCCAGGAAAAGGTTTTCTGAACTCTTGCAGTGGGGCAACCCCCGCACTGCAAGGGTTAAGTGCTCGTTTCTGTCTAGGTGCTAAAATAAAAAAAGTGATACTCGCCTTTATCCTCGGAGCTGGCCATGGATACAGTGCTCCCTCCAGCCTGTCTCCTCCTAAGCTGCAGCATGGAATCTTCCTCGGCATCCTCACTTCTTTTCACTGTGTATACAACATGGTGATTTACGGGACCTTAGACTGCTGCAGAGGAGGGGGAGAGAGTCTCCAGAAACCGGTCTAAGAACAAGCTGGCTCAGGGCATCGGGTGAGTATAACTTTTTTTTTTTTAGAACCCAGTTCTTCTTTAATGTCTAAGGGGATTCTGTAATGCACTTTTACATACCTGAACCCTGCTCCCACTTTAATGTAGGGTCCACATGTGGATACGGGTGCAGTCCATGAGCTGGAGTGAAGGGGAAAGAGGAAAGCGCCGACCACCAGGGGTGCGGGGATCAATAAAGTAAAATCGCTTTGCAGTTAACCCTTACAGTCTGTTTTCTTGTTTTTTACCTTCAGTGGTGAATGGCATCCTGTCTCCAGTCCTGCACCGTTAGTGCATCACAGGTCCGTGTTCTCTTTGCAGGGATCCTTACAAATAATCAGAGACATGTTTGGGGGGCTGACTTCTGGCTGCATCACACAACTGCTTCCTGTTTCAGCTAGCAGTCATTAACACATTCCCCACCTCTCGGTGTTTCTCAGGAGTGAAATACCAATGACAACACTGCAGCCAGTGCACCCCTAGAGCAGCTAAGAAAAAGTAAAATCTAATGGGACACTCTCATCTGTGATATAAGGCTGGTGTGTTCCGCTCCTCCTTGCCTACAGGCCGTTCACAGCAAAGTAAAGAGCGAATATGGAACTTTCTAAACTGCATAACACAGGGGTAGCAACCCTCTGGCCCTCCAGCCGTGGTGAAACTACAAATCCCCCTGGCATGACATATGGTGGAGGTGGTTTTTAACCTACAGAAATATCTTGCAAAAATTATAACAGGAAACAGTCAGCACACAAGATTTCTCTATTTCTGAAATGCAGTGATTTTTTTAAAAATGTTTTAATCAAGCAACGGAGCTGTCTAGAACTAATTCATCAGGGAGCCGAGTCCACACTTTCACAGCTCCATTTTGTATGCAAAGGTTAAACTTCTTTTTATTCCAATTCTCAGAGTTCCCTCTTATTCTTTGCAATGGCCTTAAAGTGAATACATTTGCACCAAGTTCATTATATGGACCATTTATTTTTACATGGTGATCATTTCCCCCCTTAGTCACCTATTCTCCAGAGAGAACACATTCAGTTC